TTAAACGTTTTAATCATTTTCTGTCTTATTTTTCAACCGACTTCCAAAAGAAGCAGGTACTCAATTCAACTGTACGTTTTTTTATACGTGTTACTTCAGAACTTTTTTCTGGGTGAACAGATTTTGATTTTAACGACGAAGCTAGTGCTTCTCGTGTGGTCCCATATAATTTTGATCAAGATCTGACCAGTAGTTTTTGAGTTATCCTTAATAATACGTATTCAATTCACTTCAATTACATTGATGATGTTCTCATTTTTATTATATTGAAGTCGGTTGTACATCATTTTTAATTTTACTACTTATTTAATCATATTACGTGTATTGCATTCATTTGTGTATCTAAAGTTCTGAATTCAATATGGATCATCTGATTTATAAAGCCATAGAAATTTCACCTTAATGGTTTAGATGAAATTAAGATGAAAATTGCGAGCTAATAGCGAGCATAGTATTCAAACTTTATCTTATCATTCAGTACAAATACCGGTGACTCTGGAAGGAATGGTTTCATGATTTCATCAAGTTCTGTGTTTTATTTTCTATATCTTTTTTGCGTCTGTATGAACAGCAAATTGATTTAAACGTCAAGAGATTTTTGGATATTTCAAGATGTATTTATTAAAAAAAGGAGAGCATATCTTTTTAAAGTAACACTTTTCACCTAGTAGTAGGTTGTTGCTGTGGTCCATAGACATCTATATGGATTTATCCTAAACTTTGTCCTTTTCTTTATTAACATAACATAATAATATTTATTAATTTGCCGTGTAGTGGCGGTTGAGAATATCCACTACCCCATATCTTCCCGTGGGTGTCGTAAGAGGCGACAGAGGGAGACAGGCAGGAGATGGGCAGCAGCATCTTCCTGATAACAACAATAACATAATAAAAAACTGCGGTTGCCAACCCGCTCGCCAAGCGTGGCAACTATGGCAAATATCCCCATGAGCAACGACGTAAATAAACGGCCCCCAGTCCCCGGCGGCCCCGCTATTCCTGGCTACGGTGGCGACCATGGTAACGGCGTGGCAGGGGGTGCTAAGAATCTCCGGTGGAGGTTCGGTTGCCACCTACGCGGACTCGACCTGGCAACGTATAATGCACGCACCCTGAGGACTGACGAGAAGATACTGGAGCTGGAAGAAGAGGGAGACAAGTTGCGCTGACATATTATTGGATTATCTGAGGTCCGAAGAGAGGGGGAGGACACGGTAATCCTCGAGTCCGGCAACTTGTTCTATCACCGGGAGGGCGACCATCTGTCCCAAGGAGGTGTCGGATTTATCGTCCACAAGTCTCTCGTCAACAACGTTGTAAAGATTGGGAGTGTGTCCACGAGGGTCGCGTACCTGATACTCAGAATCACCAAACGGTATTCGCTGAAGGTCATACAGGTTTACGCACCAACCTCGGCATCCCGATGAGGAGGTGGAGGAAATGTATTCCCTTCCGTCTAAATGAATTCCCTTCTGAGCCGCGTCTACGTGCTGTTTTCGACAGTCATTACGAATCGTCTCGCACGCAGACTCGACGACTTCCAGCCTCCCGAACAAGCCGGTTTCCGAAAAGGCTTCAGTACCATAGACCACATACATACCTGCGGCAGATTGTACAGAAGACCGAAGAGTACAATCTGCCACTTTGCCTGGCGTATGTGGACGATGACAAAGCCTTTGATTCCGTCGAAATTTGGGCGGTGCTACAGTCCCTTCAGCGGTGCCAAGTTGACTGTCGGTATATCGAAGTGCTGAAGTGTTTGTACAGTAGGGCTACGATGGCTATCCGAGTACAGAACCAGAGTTCGAAACCTATTCAACTGCAGAAAGGTGTAAGACAGGGTGACGTTATGTCCCCGAAACTTCACCGCTGCGTTGGAAGACGTTTTCAAGCTACTGGACTGGAAAGGATACGGTATTAACATCAATGGCGAGTACATCACTCACCTTCGATTTGCCGACGATATAGTCCTTATGGCAGAATCGCTGGAGGACCTTAGCACTATGCTCATTACCTCAATGGTGTCTCCCAACGGATAGGTCTTAAGATGAACATGGACAAAACAAAGATCATGTTCAATGTCCATGTCATACCTATGCCGGTAGTTGTTGGGAACACTATGCTCGAAGTCGTTGACGAGTACGTTTACCTGGGACAAATAGTCCGACTAGGTAAGTCCAACTTCGACCGAGAGGTCAATCGACGGATTCAACTCGGCTGGGCAGCGTTCGGGAAATTACGACACATTTTCTCGTCAGGTATACCTCAATCTCTGAAAACTAAAGTGTACAACCAGTGCGTGTTGCCAGTGATGATTTACGGATCAGAGACGTGGTCCTTCACTGCTGGCCGTATGAGGACGCTCAAGGTCGCTCAGCGAGCTATGGAGAGGGCTATGCTCGGAGTTTCTCTGCGTGATAGACTCAGAAATGAGGATATCCGCAGTAAAACCAGAGTGACCGACATAGCCAATAAAGTGTAAATAAATAAATAAATAAAATAGCCCAACGGATTAGTAAGCTGAAGTGGCAATGGGCCGGCCATATAGCTCGAAGAACCGATAACCGATGGGGAAGAAAGGTTCTCGAGTGGCAGCCTCGTACCGGTAGGCGTAGTGTAGGGCGACCCCCCACTAGATGGAGTGACGACCTGGTAAGACATGCAGGAAGTCGATGGATGCAGGTGGCTCAGGACCGTGCTTTGTGGCGTTACTTGGGGGAGGCCTATGTTCAGCAGTGGACTTGTGAAGGGCTGTAATGATGATGATGATGAATGAATAATATTTATATAAATAACGGTAATAAATTAATAAGACTGCTGTCAATGAGGACAGAAAATACAAAGAGTTTTACCTCTAGAGCTATAAACCCGCACTATTATGGAGGCAAATATCTTGAGATAAATATAAGAGGAAATTTTTACATAGTTACTACACTTAGCAGGCGAGTTGGCCGTTTTTTAATTATTTTAAATTATTATCAGAAAGTTGTCGTAGTCGTCGGTGCAAAATGTTTTTCGGTTTTCTACACTCGTAATGCGAAACAGCAGATTTACTCTGGTATTATGTGAGTGCTTGATTCTTCCTCCTTCCTGGGTTCAGCCGACCCATTCGTGCAGTAACCATAGTATAACTGTAGCGTGACTCTACCTCACTAATTATCACATGCACTTGATGTCATTATTGCATATTTAAATAATTTGCTCTAAAATATTATCTTAATTGCTTTTTCTTAGAACAATTAAGAGCTTTTTAGACAAAACAAACAAAAATGATGAACACTTCCAAAGTCAGGTATCTCCCGTCCTCTGACTCCTTACCATAATTTAATGAATGAATAAATTAAATATACTTTATGGTACACCGATAAATAAGAGAAAAAAAATACAAATTAAAAAAACAAGGGTACAATTGGCGACCTTATCACTTAAAGCGTTCTCTACCAGGGAACTACATAGCAGAGGATATAATGGCCTGTGAGAAAGGGTAAGGTTTTACGCAAATTAATAAATAAATACTATTTGATTACAAAAATATGGATACACACACACACACAAGAGCATAAAGCAATGAACAAGTAAGTGAAATAAAAATCTTAACGCAAAAAAAAAATAGGTAGCAATTTTATTAAGCGACGTGATTTCAAGAAACATAAAGAAATGATAAAGGTATTGCTATGTAAGGAGAAAAGAAATGCGCTTTCAAAAGTTTTTTAAAATTTTCAATTGTTTGCGCATATCTATTGTGTATCGGTAAGGAGTTCCAGAGCCGAAAAGCATCAATAGAAAAGGATTTAGAGTAAAAGGAAGTATTATAGGACGATATTTTCTAAGGTGAGGTTATTTCTCAGAGCGTCACCGAGAAACTTTATCTTTAACGTAAGCAGGGAAAGTGTAATTGAATAGAACACAATATAAAAGTGCAAGAATGTGTGTATTCCTTCAAAGACGGATCGGAAGCCACTTGAGTTTTTTGCGAAATTCAGGAACATACTCATATTTACATATACATACAAATATGAACTGTATACAAAGGTTCTGAATGCGCTCAAGTTTATGAATCAACTCCTCATTTAAATTGAGGGTTTTTTTTTTGAAATTACATTTATATACAAATTACATACTGATGAAATATAAATAATATTTTTGATCTAATTGACATAATAGAAAAAACTGAACTTGAATTCGTATTTAAAAAAAATACTAAAAAAAAAGAGCTTGAGATAATAGATTTTCTCACAAAAGAAGGGAACTTGAAAAAAAAGGAAAAAATTCGGACCGAAGACAGGACGCGAACCAAGGCATTACGATTTCGCGACCGTTCGATATTCACTTGAGCTATTACGATCATTAAACACAGTGTCAAAATTTACCTTCTTATTAGGGATGTTACGGATATGATATTTCGGATATGGATACGGATACGGATATGGGAATAATATTATATCGGTTTCGGTTTCGGTTACGGATATAAAATTATTTCGGATTATCCGTTAGTTTCGGATCGGATAAGATTTTTGAGGTATTTAAGTAAAATACAAATAAGTAGGTAATCATTTGGCTTTATATCTTGGTTATCATTTGGTATTACAATCAGTCATTTATTCAAGTAATTAACAATTTTATAAGAATAGTATACTAATTAATGTAGCTACCTACATATTTTTAAGTTATCTACTTAAAAATGCTATTACAAAATTATTATAATCAAAAACAATGCTATTAGTTTTTTTTTCTATTATATTCTTCAATATATTTCTAGGAACTATTACAACGCATAAATCAGTCTTCTTAAGTCTTTGCATATTGAAGAATAAAAACTAAAATCTGAACATAACATAACAAAATATTTACTTGTCTTTCACTTAATGATTTCTTTTAATAGTCGAAACTAAGCAAAGGTAAATTATACTTAACAAAAAGCAATTTCGCAGCCTTATCACCAGAAAGTCGATTTCTTAAGGGGTCATAAATTAACCCAGCTGCACTGAAAAGCTGCTCACTTGGTACACTTCCAGGAGGTGGAGAAAGGTACTGTCTTACTAAATCACTTAAGCAATGGTACTTGGTATGCATTTTCCACCATAAAAGTGGATCTTCATTGAGTGTCAATCGTTTCTCCCTGTTGTATTCATTTAGTAATGTCTTTTTAACAATAAATTGATTGTGCACATCATCACCACAATCTATGTTTTGCTCTTCCTCGTCACTTAAGCTTAATATTTCAGCTAGACAAGATTGAATGTGTGAATAGTTGCTTGAGCTTGTTGTCGGAATCTCATTCCGTGATCTCTTAGGTGAAGAAGGACCTTCATCACGAGAAGCTTTTGAACACCCAAGAATCCCCAGAATCTCAGACTGTACCTGTTCCTTCGTAATTTCAGTAAAAAACTTGAGTTTAAACCGTGGATCTAGATAAGTAGCTATTGTATATATTTTATTATTTTCAATATCCTGAAATCTGACATTGATGTCTTGGATCATTTTCGTAATCATTAATTTGAAGTTCTCAGAAGTCTCTTCTTTACTCTTCTCTGTTTCTAGTGTGTTTTTAAGAGTATATATTAATGGAATCACTGATGCTATTGTTGCAGTAGCACTACTTAACTCCTTTGTAATTTCTTCGAACGGCTTTAGTATTGCAACACACTTTTTCAAGTCGAGCCATTCATCAGCATTAAGAATTGGTATATCATGCGCGCCCGAATACAGTACTAAGGAGTCTTTTAATGTCAATATTCTTTTCATCATATAATACGTCGCGTTCCATCTGTGAAAAAAGAAAAAACAATGTCAAATCAAATAAAAAAAAATTACATAATAGATAGGTGTATAAAATAGAATAAAAAAATCTCACCGTGTGGAACATTCCTGAATTATACTTAGTCCTGATTGGTTCAGTCTTTCTGTTTGAATTTGTTTCAATTCATTTTGCGCGATTAGGGAGTGATTGAAGTGAGTTGCAATTTTCTTGCACTTCGTAATTACTGACGAGAGAAATTCTTCGATTTCCATCGTTGATCGCACACATAATTGTAGTTGATGAATAGTACAGTTTGCATCAGTGAAATTGGCCATATTCATAGCTTTTATCATATTAGATCCTCTGTCGCGTAAAATACAATGAACTGATTCCGTGCTTAAGCCCCAATCTTTCAAAATATTGTTTAAATTATTTGCTATAATTTCACCTGTGTGCCGACCCTCTAATTGTTCACACTTGAGTATTATAGAAACTCTTTCATATTTATTGGTGATGCCATGAGCAGTAAGACTAAGTAACGATACATTTGAGCTGGGCTCTGACCACACATCTGTAGTAAATGACAACTTTTCAAATTGCTTAAGTAATCCCAGCACCTTTAATTTAATTTTATTGTATATATCAGTACACAGCAAATTAGTAAAATACTGCCGACCTCTTAGATGATAGCGTGGTAATGCTGCCTGCATTAATCTTTGGAAGCCGACACCTTCCACAAAGTTAAATGACAAGTTTTGTAATGCAATCATTTCAGCTACTAATTTATCAATTTCTTTTTGCTTGACATTACTTTCATCCCAGGCGCCTTTATTTTTTAAAGAATCTGTTATTGACAGCTGTTTTTTACACTCTTGTAATGGTGTCAGCTGTTTCGTGGTATGTGGTATTTGTTGGATATCTTTTTCTAGTAACAAAAGTTCTTCGTACTTATCACCGTGTTTTGATTTAAGATGAAGTTTAAGCGAAGTAGTGCCACCTCCTTTTCGTGAAAAGGTTTTATCACACTGTTTACATTTTGCGGAATCTGCATTAACTTGATTAAAAAATCTCCAAATTAAACTAGACTTAGGTCGCATTTGGTCCAGATTAGGTAAACAATTTAATAACACAACACTTTTCTTTCACTTCGTCGAACTAAACTAATTACTCGTACCTAAATATAAAACTGACTGACGGGACTTATGTATGACTGCAACATAAATAATAAACAAACAATGCAAGAGTAAGAGACACGCGCCGCTAATGTAAAAAAAGAAACCTGTTATAACAAGTCTCATTTAGACTCAGCCCCTACCCTTATCCGAAATTATCCGAAACTTTTATATCGGATTCGGTTACGGTTACGAATAGTTTTTTATTTCGGATATCCGATAGTTTCGGTTACGGTTACGGAGCTCCATAACATCCCTGCTTCTTATATTGTAGCAGTTTTTTATTGCCTGAAAACACGGACAAAAAGACATTTTCTAAAAATAAATCCTAGCTAGATCGATTTATTGCCCCCGAAACTCCCTGGACACTAAATTTTATGAAAATCGTTGTAGCCGTTTCAGAGATTCCGATTATATATATATAAATTGCTCGTTTTTAAATTAAAAGGTTTTTAAATTGAGATAACACGTGTCAACATAATTGAGAATCGATAAAGGAGTGATTGTGCAAGCGCAATTTTGGTTGGAATGGGTAGGGAATTGCTTAATCTACTGAGAAATCCGACCAAAGCATTCACCCTCCTACTTATCTCGCTTACCTGTGGAGCCCAGGATAAATTTTTTCAAACGTTTGTATTATGACCCTTGTACTCATTTCAATTCCGAAGCCCTAAGATATGCCGCAAGCTATAAATGGAACAAAATTATTCTATACTCGGACAGCCTACTATCCAACATTTGGCTCGATCCGCCTCTGGAATCAGAGGTGTTTCGATAGCCTATAACATACTTTCCCAAATAAATCAGTTCAGTCTATGCGGCATCTGTGTAAGGGTGCAATCGATTCCAGCACACATTGGTTTATTGGGTAACGAGGAGGCAGGTAGATTAGCGAACTCTGCTTGTATAAATGATGTAGAGTATAATATTGACCCTTGCCACTCAGAAGTATTACCAAAGTTCAAAAATTCATGTTATAATAAATGGAAAGAATTTCTCAATGAATGTTCTAAAACGAAAGGTATTTGGTGTAAAACGGTACAGAGTGAACAGCCTCGAATACCTTGGTTTATAGATACAAAATTAAATAGAAATACTATTAATATTTAGAATAAGAACAGGTCACATTCCATCAAAAAAGTTTTCTTATTTGATGAAAAGAACTGATTCACCTGTGAAACTTGTGGAGTAGTTGAAGACTTACATCATTTTTAATGGAATGTGACATATAAGATAAATATAGTACAATATAGGTATCACAGAATAAAAGCGTGAAATAGTAGCTTAATGCTGCTGTATTTCGTATGGTGTATTTAGAGAACCGGAGACCCTTTTTGGAAACGAGGCATTCTATCTTAGTCCTCACGGATGACAACGCATCTGCATTTTGATTTGTAATCGAGGACAGATGTAAATGTCTATGGGCCGCAGCAACCACTTACCATCAGGTGGACTGTGTGCTCGTTTGTTACCCTATCCTATAAAAAAAAGCAATATAGGTATTGCGCAGGGCATCCTGCATGCCCCCACTTCGGATATTGCATTAAGTATGTGCAGATTAATAACAAATGTATAGATTTTAAGTTAGCTTTAATGGGGTTGACATTTTAACGAACAAAAATCCCTTAATAAAACAAGAATAAAATTTTTTTTTTCAAAAGTTATACCTAAAATTTTAACAGTGTAACTACATATATGGCACGGATGTCCCCTCAAATACAATGCCAGGTAGAGTAGAAAAATCAATAAGTGTAATCAATTTTTGACTGCTTTGGTTTTTGATGGATTTACTTTAAGATCGTATGACATACTCCAATCCATAATTAAGTCAAGATCTTTGTTTATTAAACCTATAGTTTTGGGTAAATCAACCAATTCGGCATGCACTTATACTTGAATATCATCTGCATACAGGTGGTAGCAGGAAGAACTTAGAATTGAAAAGAGGAGAGTAGACATCAGGCCACCTTGCGGTACTCCACCATTGATCGTTCACCAATTGGAGAACGAATCATCAACACGTGTCCGTCGCCGGCGACCAACAGGGTAGAGTCACCCGGCAGCTTTGGCTGTTGCACGGATGGGCCGGCTCGAATAGGGGAAGTACCACGACCTCACAGAATACCAGCGTGAAGTAGATGCTTTGCTTCTGCGTTTCGCTTGGCTGGTACAGGTAGCCGAAGGCCCAATCCCGTAACATGGTAGCAGAATTTAAAAATAGAAGACTATTACAGGAGGGTACTAGTACTCGTGGTAATGTAAAATCTCTCACTGAGCATCCACGCCCAAGCTCTTCTCTTCTCTTCCTGAGCGTAGGTGCTCAGGATGCTCCGCGTATTTTGGAGGGTGGGGCGGCGAAATCCCATTCAATACTTACACTGCACGGGTCAAACAGAGCGACAAAACCATGGCGACACCTACCATGCTAGCCGTGGACTTCTGCAACTTCGGAGGACTTCATTCGAATCTTAACGCCGTCCACTACCATCAAAGCCGGCCTTACTCTTTTCGCGACCAAGACGCAGAGTGTTCTTTCCGGCTGATACTTCGTATTGATACTGCATATTGATATGCAGAAGAAACAGCGTTGGTGTTAGCACGCAGCTTTGTGGAACGCCAGCGTTAATGGGCTCCCGATCGAAGGCCTTCGCTATGTCCAATCTAACGGCCAATGCCTCCCCGTTGGACTCTACTGCCTCCGCCCATTTATGAGTTAGGTAACGGTGAGCGACCGCGACGGAAACCGTAGTGGCGGTCACTAATCACCTGGTGATTCTCTAGGTACCGCATGATCTGGCCGTTAATAATGGATTCCATTATTTTAGCGAACAAGGAGGTGATGGCGATAGGCCTATAGTATTGTGATTGTTATTTCTAGTCGATTTCAGCGATTGAGACTGCTCATAAAAATTTTAAAATAACTTATTTGTAAGGTTTTCGTCTCGTATTATAATTTTCAACATACGTAAATCTAGAGCAATTCCGAATTCAGCTAGTACCGAGAACTAGTCTTTGATCTGTTAGTTAAATATAAAAATATATATATATATATATATATATATATATATATATATATATATATATATATATATATATATATATAAATGAGATTATTAGGTGATTAATGATATATTAATTAAAATACATACATAATATATTTAGTAATATGATATTTAATCGGGCAGCTTCGAAAAATATAAATCACACGTCCTACACATGATAAAAATGATTATACCTTAACTGTGTACGTTGTGTGCCTTCCACGCGTTACCTACTTAGCTGACACACTTTTCTAGAAGTAGACTAACTGCTAAAAAATAATCTCAAAGACCATTTTTATTTTGCGGCCTTATTTAAATAAAGTATGGTAATAGTCAACTGCGTTCATGGACGTCTCCCTTTATTTTTAGGGTTTACAAACCCTAAAACCCTTCAAAGTAAAAATTTACTCTGAAGGGTAAAGACTTATTAATTTAAATCAAGCTCTTGAGACTCAAACACTTTTCTCTAACACTCATAATTTCTTTATTTGATCAAACATTTTGCATCACCTAGCTACACTGAAGTTAGATACAGAATTAGTGAAAAATAAAAAGATCAATTAGTAGAGTTCTATGTCAAGTAGAGTGGAAGGCGAAGTGTGTGAATGATCAGTTCGTACAGCGCATTTTGTTCTCCAGAGGACCATGGAGTGACGTAAGTGAACGGGCCGTGCGGCCAGGCTTTTCGGTGAGGCCCCCACCAGCGCGGTTTGTTTACAAGAGCTCACGCAGCCCGCCGGCACTCGGCAGCAGACTTGCACGAGAGACGTGACGCTTCGCGCTAACCGCTGGTACTGATAACTGTCTAATAACGATAAGTGAACAACCAATGTGACGAATCCTTGGGACAATATCGTCCGCTAAATAGTTACAAAAACGCGCGGTATAATCAAAATTACGTGAAAATTGTGTGATCAGGATCTCCATCGCAACAAATACAAAGTAAGTTCCTATTTTAGATACGCCACTAAACGAGTTCTTATATTATCTAAAATCTATTACGTTATGCGGAACAAATGTAAACGATCACTTTTTTACACGCTTTATATTAGCTTCACCTGTGTTGTATCTATGTTGGTGTGAATGTAATGTAATTTTGTAATTCAATTTTCAGTCATTTCCATACGTTTGTATAATCTG